CGGTCAATCATTGTGAAAAATAGAAAACCGCTGATTTCTCCATTTCGATTTCTGACATAGTAGCCGATGTATAAATGGATATTTCTCTGTGATTACAACTCGGATTAATTTAATTTTACACTCGTTTTAATGGTAACGTATTGCTGTAAAAAAGTACGTCAGGGATTGTTATTAAGTGCTGTATTTTATTAGTTATGCCTCTATTCGCTAAAATTTTCAATTCTAACACAACTTGATTTTTAAGCAAGTTTTTCCATTTTTCTCGGTAAATATGAAACTTAAAGAAAAATCCTGACGCACTATATTTTGGTCCATATTGTGCAAAATATATATAGTGGCAAAAATTTTGTATCCTCACTCTTTCTGGTAGTTGAGAAATATCCAAAATACCATTTTTACATAAAAATTCAAAATTTGTGTGGTAACATAATTAGGTGCTGGAAATTTCATGAAATTTTTTGGCATAGAGATATATCTCCTCTATAAATAAATCAAGTGATTGATTCGATTCATTCGCCAGTAAACGTTTAATCTTTATTAGAGCAATACCCGTGCAAAAAGTGGGAGAGTAGGCCTATCCTTAAGTCGATCCTTGCTCGAGTTGTGTTTTGTGTATCGTCAATGATTAATTGACGTATCTATATGAACGAGACCACCACGTCCTTTCTGATACACCGTTGATAGATCAGTCTGGCTCAATCAGCTTAGATGCGTTTTTTACGTGTGTGCATTAAATTGTAAACTTCATTTCACCTTTGTTGACATAATGTTTATAATAATTAAAGTGAAATTTTTCGATTTTAGGTTTGATGAATTTCAAGTTCAAGTTGGCGTACAATTCTAGTGTGTTGAACCAGTGGACAGATACACCTATAAACCTGGCCAGCCACCAACCAGAGGTACCTGTTGCAAGAGTGGCTTCTCCAGGTTTGTAGTGAATGCTACAGGGTTCAAATATACTAAGCAGGCTGCATTTATAGTTTTCTAAAATATCATTATGATCAGATTTGGTGGTTAGCAATTTTTAATTTCACTTGTAGGTTCCATAATTCTTTAACTAATCATCTCACGACCAAATAAAAATGGTCCTAAATTCAAGGAATCAATTTTCAAATAAAAGCTTGTGTAGTTGTCAGAAATGACAATTATTTTAAAATAGTCTGTGTTCATCAGGTAGTAATCATTCTTTAGTGCTACTTATTCTTTAGTAACTTCTGGTAGTACATCATGTAGGTCAAAGGTGAGCACTTGTATTTGTGTGCGATTTATAGCTATGATAGGTGTCTTTGTATATTCATTTTAAAAACTGCATGTTCACAGTGCCGTCTGTGGCGAGAGCCGAGAATGTTAGCAGCCCTCAGCCTTCATGTGCCCCTGCAAAACCTCAACTACGTGATATAATACCAGCAGATCTCAACGAAAGCTCAAACGAAGAGGTCGGCATAGAGGAGACCTCTGGAACCGAAATACCTGGTTAGTTAGCAGCTTGCATTTTTCTTTAATGGGGCGAAAAAAATGTAACATTGCATCATGCACGTTTTGCATCGTGTGTCAGCCGGTGAATTGTGGTAATTTTCAGAGGCGCCTTCTACTCCTATGCCTTGGCTGGAGTCTGCTATCGAGGCGGAACACTATTATGGGCATGTGGACGAGGAGGATGAACTGTGCATGTCTCACACTCAATCTGGTGAGCGGTGGGCATATTTCCCCCCTACCTGCATCGTTGGTCGCATCGTGGACGATGATACCCGGACCAAATCTAATCGCTATTAATTATTGAATCTCTGTTGTTGTTGTTGTAATCGAATGCCTAGCGAATGATGGTGGTTGGGTGCTTGCATGCGCTCATTCGAGAGCAGATTAAGTATCCTGTGCGACTACTTCGTCATCTCGTATCCATGACGTCATCTCGTCTTCTTGACACGTGATGGGATCCGTTCAAATTTTCAAGGAAATATTTTCTCTAGCGCTACCATCATACACTAATCGATAAAACGTTGCCACGATCAAAGATTAAAGAACGTCTAAAGATTAAAGAATAGAGATTGTTTCCACGATCAAGGTCGATCGGTAACATATCCCCTCGTTTCAGCGTTGAGCGACACTTGCACTGCGGACGTCTTCGCTGAGCCCGTGGCGCCACCTGTTGTGAACGCCGCCGCCGCGCGGCAGCAGGATTGGTCGGACTACACAGCAGCCTACGTCGCGAGCACAATGGACGCGTACGCGCGAAAACACGACGACGACGGCGGCGCCCTCTCCGTCGAACAGCGCCCTCTACGCAAGCACGAAGTCGACGACGACCCCGCGTCGCATCGTCGTCGTCGTCGTCGCCACGACGACGCCGGGACGTCGCACGCGGGGGAGGAGGAGCCGTCGTCGGAGAGACGGGAGGCGAGGGAGGTGGAGGCAGAGAGGAGGACGGGCGCGGAGCGGAAGGCGAGCGGAAACCAGTTGACGGCGCACGACGGATGGTCGTCGTCGTTCGAAGACGCGGTGCCGCTGCCGCCGCCGCAGCCGCAGCAGACGCCCAGCATCGACGACGGTAGGCTACGTCGATCGTGGCTCCACCTGCCGAGCAATTCGAGCCTCTCGTGCGTGACGGAGCGTCGGAACACGTCGCTTTGTGTGATGCGATGAGATTGTTGGAGCAGACATTGGTCTGAATCGTAGAAGTGTTACATGGTCACGGATGTCTGTCGGTCATCACTTGCATGGGTGTTAAATGTCCGTCTGTACTGTAGACGAATTTCTGTCTTGAGAAAAATTCTGAAATTCTTTTTTATCATTTAAAAAAAATCACTTTTTAATTTTTTTTAAGTAAATTTTATCTAATGATCTTAGCTATGTATGCTTGTTATATATTCTTGTATAATAGTGTTTTATCCAAGTTTTTGTTTTACAAATTAAATAGATTTTAGTATTTTCTAAATTTCTATCTTATCAGGAAATGTCACAAGATGTGTTTTATATTGCACAGAATCCATAGCTCAGTCCCCACTTTTTTTGTTAACACCCATGCACTTGTTTGCAGGTTTTTTTCATTGTTGGTGATGTAACGGGGTGGTTTGCTGACGTTTCAGGTCAGACGTACGATGCTCTGCTGAAGAATTACGCTCCAGCCGTTACGTCCACTCTCACCAGTATGGAAGACGGTCTGATGAAAGACGGATCAAACTCTGATGTGTCACCATCACTGATAAAGGTATTTACAACTTGCAGCAGTTCTTGCGAACCAGTAAGGGGGGTTGTAAGTAGTGCTTCGGTAGTAAACCGTTAATATATCATTATAAAGAGACGCACATGCGGTTTTTACATGATCAACATGGCCTACAATATATTTCCGTTACCATCCATTTTATTTTTTGAATGAAGTTGTAGAAATTGTATCGTATGGTAGTCGCACGTCTTCCTACGACTTGTTTATCCTGTTTTAGAGAAAAGCACCCATCTCTAACCCTCGCTCATATCATAACCGCCTCTCGTGCTCACACACATTCGGCATGTAATGTATGTAGCTATCACGTTTTTGCACATTTATCGTAGAGCTCCTCTGGCCAGCAGGAGAGTGGGGACGAGGGTGACGGACAGCTACAGTGGCAGCTAAGTGATCCCAGCGATTTCGAGGTGCTGCCTCTGGGTGTTAATATCACTTCCGAAAATGCCGACTTCGTGAGTACCGTTAATATAACTGTCCCGTGAAATAATTGCAGATATTTGTGATATTATCTAAAGGTTCAGAATGCCTGCTCGTAAAGGTGGTGGTTGGTTACATCTCATGCTGTGCTTATGTGTTATTAGCTAGATCATTTCCATGCATAAGCCAATCTCACGTTTTGAAAAGCGTAGTGCAGCTGAAGGGGTCGTTGTCGTATATGTACCCTAGTATAGTACCCGAGGTGTCGGCGAGTATGTCGCCTACGCCTACTCCCTAACCCTAACCCTAACCATATCAAGTAGTTACCTCGGGTACATGTTATGCGCCATTATACGACAACGACCCTTCATGAAGGGGTCATTGTCGTATATGTACCCGAGGTGTCGGCGAGTATGTCGCCTACGCCTACTCCCTAACCCTAACCTTAACCCTAACCCTAACCATATCAAATAGTTACCTCGGGTACATATTATACACCATTATACGACAACGACCCTTCATGCCGTAGTGCATTGTGTGAACGTTTGAGTACCAAATGTATGGTTTATGCTTGAATATATTTCATATATAGATATAATTGACACTCAGTGCTTGCTTCGCAACTATTTAAGCATGTAAAAATGTACGTATGTAAGTGTGCAATACACACATGTTGATGGTTCGACAAATCATTTTATCCAGCGAACACAGAATCTGCTTGCTATAGTGGGAAATATATGCAATGAGAATGGACTTTATGCTCAGAATTATCAGTGCATGGGATGCTCAAGACCCATTGGAATGAGTAAGTTCAGCAGCTAGAATTATTACTCTGCATACAATGAAGCATACTCTAATATAATCTTATAATCACATAATCTCCTATATTATATTCTCGGTTAGACCGTAATAGGTCCCTATAAGAGGAGTCTAGTCTAAATAAGGGCATCAAAATCGAGACTTAGAAGTAACAGATAACCCGTGATAATACATTTACGATAATTCAGATACACAATTCGTTCGTGTTAGAATCATTAGAATGGAACAAAAATGGAGCGAAAACAGTTGGGCATTATATGTCTGCCTATACCACTGTATACCACAAAACCTTGGAAGAGTACAGTGGAATAGATGGTACTTTTGAATTTTTACTCCACTACACAATGTACACCCTATTAGATATATACCATATGATTTACTATATGGTAATCATTTATATATCGTTCCTAATTTCTTCTTTGATGCATTTGAATGTCGGTTGTTTTTTGACATGGTTTTTTATCTTGTAACTGTAGTTTATGGCAAAGCGCGAGTGTGTACATTTGATGGTGCGTACTATTGCTATGAATGCCACGAGAATGACGAAAACGTTATCCCAGCGCGGATCATTCACAACTGGGACTTTCGCAAGCACAAAGGTATGTACGTCTGGAAAGAACTGGAGAAATAGTACTTCATAATGGTAATGGTAAAATGGTAATGTGACTAGTGGGTTCATTTGAATTCACTTTCATTCGTTCCATAATTTTTCCTTGAATTGTCTCTGCTGTAATGTAATATTCCAACACCATCTCCACAGTTGCAAAATACACCAAACTTTTGCTCGATCGCATCCAGGAGGAGCCACTGTTCGATCTAGGACGACTGAACCCATCCATATATGGAGTTGTCAGTGAAATGCACGACATATTGGTACGTTACGTGACTTTGGAAATACTGACTATAAAAATTAATATTAACATACTATAAATTAAATAAATAATTAATATTAACATATTTATGTAGTAGTATGCATGACGATGACGATGGAGTCACGTAAGTGTGGAAGACGTCACGTTACAGGCTCTCAGAAGACGGTTGAACTTCCTGAAGACGTACCTGTTCACCTGTAAGCAGTCGGTGGCGGACGAGCTGAGAAAGCAGGTGTGGCCGCGAGAATACCTGTACGAGAACGTACACCTGTACTCCACGTCGGTACGTGCGCTTAATTACTATTAACCATGCCATTGTTCTGCTATGAACACCCGAGAGGGCTCTCATATACAATCTGCCTCTATATTTACATATTACAGTACGATCTTGTAAAACAATGTGATTACGTTGTGATATTTTGTATTACAATGGTCTTCTCAGAAGAATACATGTGTTCATATATCGATGAAGATTTTGTATTACAATTCATAGTGGTGTGCTACCAGACTGGCATCATTTTAGCATTTAATTGCTACATTTGTTTAACGATAATTTTGTATTACGACGGTTTTGTTGGAGCAAATCCCGAGACGTTACTGTATAGGAGCGTGACTTACAAGAATATAATACAAAAATATATTTGATAATAACATGTCGTTATCTTGCTCCTGTGATAATTACGATATGTATAATAAGAATTTAATAACGATTCCACGCTGTTGCTTTCCATTCTGTAGGAACTCCTTCAGGTAGAGTCTGGTCTACTGCAGCAGACGCTGAGGCGGCTGGTGGCATACTGCATGAAGCACGTCAGCACCTGCCCCCTGTGCACTCAGAAGGGATTCATCTGTGAGATATGCCACAACCCGAAAGTGATCTTCCCCTTCGAGGTTTCGACGACGTACCGGGTGAGTGTGCGCGATGAAGCTAGAACTATCTAACTTAATCCAAATTTTATTCTTAATCTCTAGAATGGAATAACCCCAGTAATTTGTTACGCACACTAAAATGTTAAAGCCCTTTGACATCTTTTATACCCCTTTTATACCCCTTTTATACCTCTTTTATACCCCTTTTATACCCCTTTAAAAACGGGGTACACATTGTATCTAGCAAATTAATAGTGGTTTGTGGCATAATGCTGAGCTTCTGCCTTGCTCTGGTCATGTTCACTAGGCAGAAAAAAACGAGGTAAAAATCACTGATTTGGCAGAGGTAAATGCTATCCAAAGCTATCGGAGATCACGTTTTTTTTAAAAATCCTTTCCCCATTCACTAATGAAACCCTCATTCGCACCGCTAATGAAACGCTAAAGCACGCGTGATGGAATACCTGTAGTGCATTGCTACGCACTCGTCACCTGACGTTTGATCGCCATTTCAGTGTGACAAATGCCAGACCGTCTTTCACTCGGACTGCATGAACGAGCTGAAGCCGTGCCCCAAGTGTGAACGACGCAAGAAGCGACAGCAGAACGTCGACACGATAGATTACGCCTACGTGCCTGACAGCGAAGCGTGAGTGCGGCCATAGAGGGAGCTAGCGGGCGGGGCTCGAGGTTGGCACGGGGGCAGCGAGCTAGGCGACTTTCGTTCATTGAGTCGTTAGCATTCAATGTCGTCCTGCAGATGGTGTACCGTAATGTGACACGAACAGTAGGGCGGGCGTCGTTGGCGATGCGTTTGCCACGAGAGTAAATGATTTCGATGTTGCATCTATACCGATGAATCTGGACTTTGCGATAAGACCGTGGAAGCGAAGTGAAAGTTACAGCGTTTTTTTTACATTTTTAAGAGCCGCCGCGGGCTCAATGGTGCTTTGCTCTCTTGTTTCGGCGCGAGCGAGCGACTGAGACTACCAATGCGCTGCACAGTAGTATGTGACGTCGGCAGGCCGAGTGATGCCCCTCCTCAATCATTCTACATCTATGTTATTTACTTATCTATGCGACAGGGAATAGTAGTTGTTATAGATGTAGAGCCCTGAACACTGCCCTACCCAGGTTACCGTCCGTGTGGGTGTACATTCGCTGCGGCAGGCGCGCGTGGGTAGACGGACTCGCATTCTAAACACTCGCACCGGTACGCTCGGTGGATGTGAAGAATTAGACGCTCGTCAACGTATAGGGGGCGTTGTGCAGACTATGTGCCCCGATTGTTCACCCCTGCGATTACATGATCGTTAGTCGATTCATTATTCATTGGATTCGGTGCGATTTATTACCGAGAGTGCAATTCTCACTGCATGCTTATTTAATCTTCAAGATGGAAGATTAATTAGATTGGCGGAAAAAATCAGCAGATCTTTGCTTCAACGGTCAACGCCCATGCGTGCATGATTTGTGATTATAACACAGTTGGCCGTTACCGTCAGCGGCACGATAAAAGGCTGTAATTAACTTAATTTATTGCGTCGATTGCCACTTGGGCTGTCTATGGGTGATATAGGCAAGGATTGTATCGAACGGCGTTATGGTGCAGAGCGATGTTAGTGGCGTAGATGATGTTTCCCTAGCATGCTAAAACTCGGGTGCACCACATTTTACGGAATATGGAGAGCTTTTAGCTGGTGGTAATTTTAATCCCTTATCACATCTCGTGGTTTGATAGAGATAATGAGAATGCTGAAGGAAATATGAATCTACATATTTTTTATGTACAGACAGTTTTTGATGTTTTTTGACAAGAGTAACATGCAACGTGCGTGTAATTTGAACATTGTAAAATACAGTGCTAGAATGCCTATAAGTTGAAATTATACAGTATTGTGCCTTTTTTGTTTTGCAATATACTTTAAAACTAGAAACGAGCAGTTGTCGCCAACTACATGTATCCCCCGTGATCTAGTATGAATAGAAAATCTCTGTAAGGACGTAGAAGCTTAAAGTTAAATAAGTCACAAAGACAAAGGTTTGTTAGACAACTGGTGTGCCTCAGATGTGCAAGTATATGGAATCTGGTTACCCTAGGAGGCCGAAGAGGAAATGTAAGTCGACGGTGAAGGTCAAACTAAGGTCAAGGGCAGTGGTGGTTTTGGTATGCGACAGACCTTCTCCCCAAGATGTGTAAGCATACCAAGTTTGGTCGCGCTAGGTCAATTAGGGGCTGTAGTGGGGCAGATATGTGAAA